CTGGAATTGTGAGGGGTTTAAGGGGTTGGGAATTTCCAGAATCTTGAGGGGCTTAAGGGGTTGAGAATTCCCAGAGTGGTGAGGGATTGAAGGAGTTGGGAATTTCCAGAATTTTGGAGGGTTTAAATGTTCAAAATTCCCAGAATGGTGAGGAGTTGAAGGAGTTAAAAAATCCCAGAATGGTGAGGGAAAAGATTCCCAGAATTTTAAGGGATTGAAGGAGTTGAGAGTTTCTAGAATCTTGAGGAACATCTTCCAAATTCACCCCAAAACCCTCCAAAGTGATCCCAAACCCTCCACAGTGACCCCAAACCCTCCAAAATGAACCCAAAAGCTTCCAAAATGACCCCAAAATTCACCAGAGTGACCCCAAACCCCCCAAAATGACCCCACCCCCCCCCAGGGGGGTTTTTCCAACCCCTTTTCCCAAGGAATTCCCGAGGAATCCCCGGACTCACCGAAGGAGTGGTTGATGACCTCGAAGAGGGCGAAGTAGTTGGCGGTGACGCTGTCCATGCCCACCTTGGCGGCCACCGCCTGGAAAACATGGAAAAACGGGATGGGAAACACGGAAAACTGGCAGCTCCGCGATTCCCAACCATCCCAGGGACACGGGAAAGGCCGAATCCCACTTTTCCAGCCAAGCCAGGGGGGATTTTTTAGGGATTAGACCCCCCCATAAGGGACATCCCCAAATCCCACCTTATCCCAGGATCCCGGAGCTCTTTCCCACCTTATCCTGGAGCTCCTGCTCTTTCCCAAACTATTCCCAGAATCTTGCAGCTCCTGCTCTTTCCCAACCTATTCCCAAGATCCCACAGCTCCTGCTCTTTCCCGACCTTCCATCCCTCTTTTCCAGCAGGATTTCCAGTTCCTTTTTTTCCCAAGGATCCCAGGGACACGGGAAAGGCCAAATCCCACTTTTCCAGCCAAGTCAGGGGGGATTTTTTAGGGATTAGACCCCCCCAACAAGGGATGTTTTGTGTCCTGACGCTTCCAGCTGCGATTCCCAATGGGAAAGCTGGGAATGGCTCCCTCCTGGGAATGCTCCCCATCATCTCCATGGGACAATCCCACGGCCAGGAAATGTGGAATTCCACAGGCTGTGTTCCAAACACCCCCTTCCCATCCCAAATCCCACCTTATCCCGAGATCCCGCAGCTCTTTCCCAACCTATTCCCAGGATCCCAGAGCTCTTTCCCACCTTATCCTGGAGCTCCTGCTCTTTCCCAAACTATTCCCAGAATCTTGCAGCTCCTGCTCTTTCCCAACCTATTCCCAAGATCCCACAGCTCCTGCTCTTTCCCGACCTTCCATCCCTCTTTTCCAGCAGGATTTCCAGTTCCTTTTTTTCCCAAGGATCCCAGGGACACGGGAAAGGCCGAATCCCACTTTTCCAGCCAAGCCAGGGGGGATTTTTTAGGGATTAGACCCCCCCACCACAAGGGACGTTTACTCAGGTCCTGATGCTTCCGGGGTGGTTTTCCACGGGAAGGAGAACATTCCCAGACATTCCAGGGGAGGGAGGGCATTCCAAGGGAGGAGGAGGAGGAGGAGGAGGAGGAGGAGTCACCTCACCTGGTCTTAATATCCTTAATAAATATTCTTAATATCCTCGATATTCTCAATATCCTTGATATCCTTGATATATCCTTAATATCCTTGATATCCTTAAATCCTTAATATCTTTAATAAATATCCTTGATATCCTTGATATCCTCGATATCCTTGATATCCATAATATCCTTGATATCCTTAATATCCTTGATATCCTTGATATCCTTGATATCCCAACCCCGTGGAGTCACAAGGATCTCCTGGCATTCCCAGCATTCCCAGCGGTTTTCCACGGGAAGGAGAACATTCCCAGCCATTCCAGGGGTGGGAGAACATTCCAGAGGGAGGGAGAAGAGGAGGAGGAGCCTCAT